ACCGCAGTGATAAAAGCAGGAAGTGACGACAAAATCCGTGACGTCATATGCTCGCAAACGTGCTTCGACAGCTTACTGCTATGTATTTTGGAACGGTACTTGTGACGCTGCCAGTACTGGCAGTAAATATCGGAATGCACCCTATATATATCGTATTCTATATCGTATAAGGCCGATTTTCTTATATCTCCCGATAGCTATTCTTTGAAGAAATATATAAAAACATATATTGTATCTTATCTAAAACTTCTTCAGAAGTGGAGAAATTGGACATAAAACCTATGATAGAAAAATAGGTATGTACAGACACTGTGCAACAAAAAATGACATTCTAACCTTCTGTTAGCAATTTGATAGAATAATTGCAAATATATTTATGTGTTTGTTTTGCAGAAAATGACTGGTTGTTGCGTAGTTGGCTGTTTTATAATTTGTTACTATTACTTTAAATTACCAATTTTATACGTAAAATAAGATATATATTCGAGCATTGGAGGAAAAGAAAGAAAAAGAAGATTATAAGAGCAAAAAATGCTACCACCATGAACAGGCATACTGTTATTTAAATCAAATTTAATGTGTGGCTATAACGTTATCCATTGGTTCCGCCATTTTGTTTCAGAACCAATGAAAAGTTTGACACCAATGGCCAGACTCTTATTTCCAGGGACTCTATACTACACTAGATCGCTAACTTAGGTAGTGGGGGTAGGCCATATATGTAATACTCCTATATTGCTAGTCGCGTATCTTNGCAATGAGAGGCACGAGGCCCGAGAAAAAGAGACGCACGAAGTCCAAATATGGGCATAGATAGTCGAGCGTCATTATGCGCAGGCGCATCTACCAAGTGAGTGCGAGCGAGACAAAATATTAGAAAGAGAGAGAAAGAACGCGAGAAAGAGAAATGCGCAAGCGTGCTTGAATGTTCATCGCATGCGCATAAAGCAGCTGGAAAGAGAGGCTACTATATTGTCTGCACCGTAACGGTGAGCTTCTGGTCGGCACCGTACTAGCAATATAGAAGTATTACATATATGTCTAGTATACTATAAAAGTCTGTGTTTCAGCCGCTGGTTTTAGCCGTATTTCCACAAAAGTGGAACTCAAAGGCCGTTCTACATTAACGCAAGTAGCAGATCTCGTGGAATTGACCAATTGCAGAGTCAAATCAGCCAATCAACCAACGTGATTGGTCAGTTCCACAAGACCTGCAACTTGAGTTTCATGGAGAACGGCCTTTGAGTTCCACTTTTGTGGAAATACGGCTAAAACCAGCGGCTGAAACCGTCGTAAGAAACTACAATGGCATGGCCGCTCTCAGGCTTCTCTCTGATAGAAGTCTGTGTTCTCAACCTGCCGCGGCCACCAATCAACTCACTGCTAGAAAAGAAGAAAATTACTCCACGACTATTTTTGTCTCTTTTAGATCCGATTTCACAATTCACGGTTAACTCGAATTAACCGAAGTTCGACTTGCTGAGCTCGGTTTAAGGCGTTCAATCTTCTTTGTCAAATCTTCGCTAACCAATCACAGTTCATGTTTAGGAAGAAAAAATGCGTTACGCCGAGTTCAGCAAGTTGGGCTTCCGTTAATTCGAGTTAACCGTCAATTGTGAAACCGGGCCTTACCGAAGCTTCAGCTCCTCTTACACGAATGTTCCGTCTATTATATAAGTCTATGCCTTAATGACCCCAAGCCGCTAGGCGGCGCTAGATAAAGCCTCTTGCACAATGGACGGAATAGCGATAGCGATAGAAATAACAAAAGTTTTAAAGAGTTTATATTTAAAAATAAAGGTAGGAACAGCGGAATCTAACATACAAAACTACACATGTATCAATGCAAATCAGAAAATCGGAATAAGCAATAGCGATGAAATTTCCGACGCGAGTTGGATTTCTGTGTTAAAAACTGTGTTATTTCTATCGCTATCGCTATTCTTTCCGTTGTGCAAGGGGCTTAACAGTTACCACGGCATTGGTTACGTTCAGTAAACTCAACGGTTGAAAAATCATCACTTATGATAGGACTATTCTACAAAATCTAGGACGGATCCAGAAGTATGATCCAATCAGAAGTGATTATCTCTCAACAGGTGTGCAACTGTTGAGTTGTTTGAACGCACCTATTTAATTTTATGGGTAAATTCCGCTTGCCATTCGCAACTCTCACGCTCATTCCACGAACTCGCACATCCAACTTCGAAATAACGGGTCCTTATATACAGGGTGTCCCAGAATTGCCGTACAATCTCTCGTAGGCAGGTAGAAGGAGTAAAACTAAGTCGAAAAGTCCTGAATCATTTTTTTTTATTATTTATAATAAAAGAGTAAATATTGAGTAAATCACGCCAATCAGCGCAGACCTTTAGCCAGGCGCACGTCAGTGAGCCGCGCGCCTAGTGTGTGTGAGCGCTCACTGACGTGCGCCTGGCTAAAGGTCTGCGCTGATTGGCCTGATTTACTCAATAATTACTCTTTTATTATAAATAATAGAAAAAAATGGTTCAGGACTTTTCGACTCAGTTTTACTTCTACCTGCCTACGAGAAATTGTACGGCAATTCTGGGACACCCTGTATATATAGAAGAAAAATACATACATATATCTGTGATAAAAACAAAGATTAATTCAAAGCTTTCCAATCTAATTTTATTTTTCAAATTAATAAAAGCAATTACACGTGTTACACTCTGTTCAATAAAAAAAGTATCATCAGATTAATGTATATAAATTTTGCGTCATACAAATGTTATAAAATCTGACACAAAGTTTGAAAAAGTGGAAGATATAAAACAGTCTAGTGTTCGTTGAATCCACCATAAAAAAACACGTCCAAGAGAATGTAAACGTAAAAAACAACTTTCAAAAAAGTAGAATAAAATAAAATCTTAAAAAAAACTAATTTCAAAATAAGATAGTAATCTGTATTTAAAATACAGCAATAATTTTTAAGTTTTTATAGCTGTTATTTCATGTTTAAAATAGTTCGTTTTTCCTTAACTTACACACATAGCACTTTAGATGTATTTGAAGTAATTTCTACATCATTAATATCAGTATTAAGAATACTGACACTAACAGACTTACAAGTATCTATTAAAATTCTTATGTCATTATCACTTAAGTAACTAAATATTTGTTCAATACAATCAAGTGGTAGATCAGGAAAATTACAAAAAAAATAGAAACTTTTAATACCTTCTTCGAACAACTCTTTCTTTTTCATACCTATTCTGAACTGATTTTTTATCATGCTAGAGTATATTGGAAATTTTGTTTTATACTCGTCTGAACTTAAAGCCTGCACTACATTTTCACTTCTCATGTATATTACTAGATTTGTATCTTTTATCAAGATATCGTAAAATGATATGTTAGTATTACTAATTTTCTCATTCTTCATGATTGCTACTTCTTTTTCACATTTATCCTGTAACTCACTTATTTCATAATTCCTGCTCATTGATAATAATTGTTCACTTACGAATAAATTTGCAGCTTTTAACTTAATTATATGCTGTTTAAGACACTCAACAATTTCTTCACAATAAATGTGATTAAAAAAGACATTATAATCATTATAAAGGCGACTAGAAGAGTAATAAAAATCATTATATGATATAACATTAATGTTAGCACCTCTGTCTAACAACATCGCAACAATTTCTACACGACTTCTTTTAACAGCAAACCACAGTGGTGTAAAACCTGGTGTAAAAAAAGAGATAAATGTCGCATTAACATAAAACTCCATGTCTTAAAAGATGTTCAACAATATGTAAATATCTTTTCCCAGCTGCAATATAAAGTTTTACCTGACTTATTACTGGTATTAACGTTAGCTCCATGATTTAATAGTAATTCAGCAATTTTTATCCACTCAAATTTAATCGCATCATAAAGCGGAGTTGTGCCATCCCGAGTTTCAGCATTAACGTTAGCACCTCTGTCCATGAGCATCTTCACACCATCTACATGTCCATTTTCAACAGCGACACGCAGTGGTGTAACACCTGAAAAGGAAGAGATGTATGTAGAATTAACTCTCCAATTAAACTTAATGTTCAAAAAGACGTTCATCAATCTGTAAATATCTTTTCTCAGCTGCAATATAAAAAGTTATACCTGACTTATCACTGGCATTAACGTTAGCTCCATGATTTAATAGTAATTCAGCAATTTNCATTTCCTTATATTTAATCGCATGATGAAGCGGAGTTGTGCCATCCCGAGTTTCAGCATTAATGTTAGCACCTTTGTCCATGAGCATCTTCACACCATTTACATGTCGTTTTTGAACAGCAAGACACAGTAGTGAAATACCTGAAAAGGAAGAGATGTATGCAGAATTACCTCTCCAATTAAACTTAATGTTCAAAAAGACGTTCATCAATCTGTAAATATCTTTTCTCAGCTACAATATAAAGTTATACCTGACTCATCACGAGCATTAACGTTAGCTCCATGATTTAATAGTAATTCAGCAATTTTTATATTCTTAAATTTAATCGCATCATGAAGCGGAGTTGTGCCATCCTGAGTTTCAGCATTAACGTTAGCACCTCTGTCCATGAGAATCTTAACACCATCTACATGTCCACATTCAACAGCGTAACGCAATGGAGTAAAACCTGAAAAGAAAGAGATATATGTAGAATTAACTTTCCAAGTAAACTCCATGTTGTAAAAGATGTTCATTACTCTGTAAATATCTTTTCTCAGCTACAATATAAAGGTATACCTGACTCATCACTAGCATTCACGTTAGCTCCATGATTTAATAATAATTCGGCAATTTTTATATACTCCAATTTAATCGCATCATGAAGCGGAGTTGTGCCATCCCGAGTTTCAGCATTAACGTTAGCACCTCTTTCCAACAGCATCTTAACATCATCTACATGTCCATTATGAACAGCAAGACGCAGTGGTGTATCACCTGAAAAGAAAGAAATATATGTAGAATTAACTTTCCAAGTAAACTTCATGTTGTAAAAGATGTTCATCAATCTGTAAATATCTTTTCTCAGCTACAATATAAAGGTATACCTGACTCATCACTGGCATTAACGTTAGCTCCATGATTTAAAAGTAATTCAGCAATTTCCATTTTCTCATATCGAATCGCATAGTGAAGCGGAGATGTGCTATCCAGAGTTTCAGCATTAACGTTAGCACCTCTTTCCATCAGCATCTTAACATCATCTACATGTCCAAGTTTAACAGTGAGACACAGTGGTGTATCACCTGAAAAGGAAGAGATATATGTAAATTTAAAACTCCCCAATTAAACTCCGTTTTCTAAAAGATGTTCATCAATATTTAAATATCTTTTCTCAGCTGCAATATAAAGTTATACCTGTCATATCACTAGCATTAACGTTAGCTCCATGATTTAAAAGTAATTCAGCAATTTTCATTTCCTTATTTTGAATCGCATCGTGAAGCGGAGTTGTTCCATTCCAAGTTTTAGCATTAACGTTAGCACCTCTGTCAAGAAACATCTTAACAAATTGTTCATGTCCGTTTGTAGCAGCAAGACGTAGTGGTGTAACATCTGGTGTAAATGTAGATATATATGTAACATTAACATAAACTCCATGTTTTAAAAAATGTTAAAAAATTTATATATATAATTTTTTAAGTGCATTATAGAGTTATACCTATCTTATCACTGGCATTAACATTAGCTCCATGATTTAAAAGTAATTCAGCAATTTCTATTTTCTTATTTTCAATCGCATCGTGAAGCGGAGTTGTCCCATCCCAAGTTTCAGCATTAACGCTAGCACCTCTGTCAAGAAACATCTTAACAAATTGTTCATGTCCTTTTTTAGCAGCAAGACATAGTGGTGTAACACCTGGTGTAAATGTAGATATACATGTAAAATTACCATAAACTCCATGTTTTAAAAAATTTTCAAAAATGTATATATATTATTTCTCAAGTGCATTATAGAGTTATACCTGCCGTATCACTGGCATTAACGTTAGCTCCATGATTTAAAAGTAATTCAGCAATTTCTATTTCATCATATTCAATCGCCTCACGAAGCGGACTTATGCCATCCCGAAATTTAGCATTAACGTTAGCACCTCTGTCCATGAGCATCTTAACACCATCTACATGTCTTTTTTGAACAGCAAGACACAGTGGTGAAATACCTGAAA